CGAAGAATTGATACTTTTGAATTACGGTGCTGGAGGAGACTCTTCAGAGTCCCATGGACTGCAAGAAGATCAAACCTATCCATTCTTAAGGAAATCAGCCCTGAGTGCTCACTGGAAGGGCAGATCCTGAAGCTGAGGCTCCAGTACTTTGGCCACCTCATGAGAAGAGAAGACTCCCTGGAAAAGACCCTGATGTTGGGACCCCCTCCTCTCACAAGGAGAAGGGGACGACAGAGGACGAGATGGTTGGATAGTGTTCTCGAAGCTACCAGCATGAGTTTGACCAAACTGCGGGAGGCAGTGGAAGACAGGAGTGCCTGGCGTGCTCTGGTCCATGGGGTCAAGAAGAGTCGGACACGACTAAACAACAACCTCAAAGCAGTTTACAAAAGATAAAGCAGTAAAACCAAGAAACAAACCACACCCACCTATCCAGGGGTGCCAACTTAAATAAAATATTAGGGGGGCAGGTAAGCCCCGCCCAGCACATGACGTGGCACACACAAACCATTTGAATAGCAATGTTCATTGACTTGGGGGAGGGGGCGAAGGAACCTCGGCCCCTAGGACTTAGCTCCTATGCATCTATCAATCAGCTGGTGTCATATGACATCAGGCATAGAGATCTATGATCTCTGACGTAAGCATGAAGTGCTAAGATCAGAGACAAGGGGTCTCTTATCTCCTGTCTTAGCACTAAGCACTGCAGCATTAAGGATGGAGATATGGCTTTGCTTGTTGTTTGCCTGTAAACTGCCAGAGAGAAGGCAGCATATCTGATCTTATAACTGGTACGCCATCTCCAAATAGCGCTGGAGAGCAAAAAAAATAATTGCAATTTTCCATTGTGTTTTTTTTCCTTTTGTTATAACAGTTTAATTTCTGAGTTATTTATAGTGATTTTTCCCCCTGTGTGTAGATCCACCCACCCTAGGAGTTAGGAGAGCTCCACTATCCTGACAAATTCAGTCAAATCTTGCTGTTTCCTTTAAACAAACTTTAGGTAAGCAACCCACCAGTGATTAGAGCACTTTTGAGCCTTTGAGATGGTGTCATATCAGGTTTTGGTGACCGCATAAGAAGCTTGATTTCCTGTTGTATTTCTAGCTTCTGCCACTTGTGAACAGGTGCATTGTGGGTATTCCATTTGCTATTGATTCACCAAAGTACTAGCCTGAGAATCTTCTAGAAGCACTGTACGACATACCTGGTTGGTCTGGACTTTTGGAGTTCAGAAGTAAGCCAGGGAAAGATGATGAATTTTCAATTACAGTGGTACCTCGGGTTACATACACTTCAGGTTACATACGCCTCAGGTTACAGACTCCGCTAACCCAGAAATAGTGCTTCAGGTTAAGAACTTTGCTTCAGGATGAGAACAGAAATTGTGTGGCGGCAGCGCGGTGGCAGCAGGAGGCCCCGTTAGCTAAAGTGGTGCTTCAGGTTAAGAACAGTTTCGGGTTAAGTACGGACCTCCGGAACGAATTAAGTACTCAACCCGAGGTACCACTGTAGTACTGTTTTGATGCAGGATCTTTCTTCTGTTGTCTACCTTAAGGCACACTATGTATCTAAATCAGGGTTTCCCTAAGTTGGGTCTCCAGTTGTTTTTGGATTACAATTCCCCTTATCCCTGACCATTAGTCCTGCTAGATGGTTCAAAAACAGCTGGCGATCCAAGTTTTTGGGAAACCCTGATCTAAATAAATAAAGGACATAATGTATTTTTAAAGCAATCTAAAATTCACCAAAATCAGTTAGTGGATTTCAAAAAGAAAAAGGAACATAAAACACCACCCCACCAGCTGGAAATAAATCGAGAACAATCGGTTTGTTGGCTATTGAAAAACACTTCCCATTCACGATAAAAGAGCAGGCAGGCAGCCATAAGGTGTTAGGCAGACAAATGAAGTACATATTTGCAGGCATGCCTTGTGCCGAAAGCAATTGGGGGGGGGGTGTCACGCATCTTATTTTAACGAGAAGGCGGGGAGATGAGAAAGCGGGGGAGAGAACCCAGAATGGATTTGGAATCATATTATGTTGCCTATAAAAAAAAAATAATGTTGAAACTTCTTGCCTTGTTAAAAAAAGAAAAAGGAATGGTGTACTTGCCCTGTGGGTAATGGAAGCTTTGTGGATTTGCAGACAATGGGGCAACAGACAGAGTCACCTGATCTACCTTTCAGACCTGGTGAGAACGAGAGAATAAAATAGGCTACAAAACACCTGAAACTGCTGGCATCGGGAACACTTCCTGTCGAATTTGGTCGGACAACAGACACAAAGCCTGCCCTGTAATTAAATCCCACCCTGATCTACATTTTGCAGTCATGTAATTAATACTTCCTCTCCGCAAAGCAGTGGAATAATTTAAAAAGTAGATTTTCCGTGGGGGTTCCTTTCCCCTTTCTTCCTCTCCCTTTCTCTCTAAACCGGAGCCTGTAAGAGAGTTTGGCATGTACCTTTTAGCTAGGGGGGGGGAGTGATTTGCCAGTTCCATTTGCTAACAGAAAGCTGCAATTAGATGCTCATAGCTCTCTTTGTGCTGGGAGAAGCAAATGATACTTCCTTCCTGTTTAAAAGCTGTGAGTGGAGCAGGAGCCTGGGCTGGAGGAGGGGTGGAAAGGAGAAGGAGAGCTCTACCTATTCAGCAAGGTTTTATGGAATTTATAAATAGAGGGAGGACACAGAGTGTTGCCCCAACAGAGTAAATATTGTCCTGCAACTCAAAAGTCAAGGTGTATCCAATTATGGGAGCATGGCATGCTATTCTCTAGGGAGGTCTTTGTGTTGCTTTCTCTCCTCAGCAGATGGAATTAGGATCAGAATAAACCTCAGTGTGGCCATCTTCTCTCACACCCCTCACTGGTAGAAATCTTCAAAAAGAAGATTAGACAAATTCGTGGAGGATAAGGCTGTATCAGTGGCTGAGGTCCACAATAGTGAGTAAAAATATATCATGGAGGATAAGTCTATCAATGGCTACCAGACATGATGCCTTATGTTCCACCTCCATTGTCAGAGGAAGCATGCCATACACTCCAACATTTCTCTGATGAAAATAGGGACATCCTATTCCAGAATAAGGGGCATGGGTTAAACCACAGAGCCTAGGACTTTCCAATCAGAAGGTCGGCAGTTCGAATCCCTGCAACGGGGTGAGCTTCCATTGCTCGGTCCCTGCTTCTGCCAACCTAGCAGTTTGAAAGCACGTCAAAGTGCAAGTAGATAAATAGGTCTGGCAGGAAGGTAAACGGCGTTTCCGTGCGATGCTCTGGTTTGCCAGAAGCGGCTTAGTCATGCTGGCCACATGACCTGGAAGCTGTACGCCGGCTCCCTTGGCCAATAAAGCGAGATGAGCACTGCAATCCCAGAGTCAGCCACGACTGGACCTAATGGTCAGGAATCCCTTTACCCTTTACCTTTTATTCCAGAATAAATAATAATAATAATTTTATTATTTACACTCCGTCTATCTGACTGGGTAGCTTGCAACATATAAAAAATGTAATAAAATATTTTTTAAAACCCTTCCCTATACAGGGCTGCCTTCAGATGTCTTCTAAAGGTTGTATCGTTACTTATCTCCTTGGCTTAGGGGTCGCATAACTCCATACCCTCCAATATTTCTCTGATGAAAATAGGGACATTTCAGCATCAAATCAGAAACCGGGATGGCTTCTCTAAATCTGGAACTGTCCCTGGGAAAATAGGGAAACTTTGAAGGTCTATATTCACTCCATAATGAAAGAAAGAAATGGCTGTTTTATTGATTAGCCAACACTGGATCATGAGCCTGGGACCTAACTGATATACATTCATTCATGGTATATTTATTTTGCCTACCTATGTGCTATTGCGCTTGTGCCATGGAAAAGCAGTTTGAGGAGGGCTTTCAAAGAAGGAAACAGAATGACATAGCACAAGCATTCTGTGGACTGCTATAAGTGCAAGAAGCAGCGGGGAAGAATGGGTGGAGAATCTTGAAGAACTAGGTGGCTTTTGAGCAACAGAGGGTGATGGAACCAGCATTATCAACTAAACACCAGGCATGTGGACCCTTTAAGAGAAAAACCTATGACCCAGGATGCCAGCCCCGCCGGAGACCTGACTCAAGTGTTGTGGCCTGGTTGGAAGAATCATCTGCTACTTTGTGCAGGCTTCATCAATAATAAAGTTTGATTTACCACTAACTCGGCTTCTAGTTACAGAGCCAATGATCAAATTTGTATCTGCATTCAATTCCAATGAGCTTGGGACATTATAAATGGGGTTTCTTCATGAGAACAGCTCCGTAAGGGAGGTTCAGCACAACTGACGCAAAACCACCAGGTTAGCTTCACAGCTAACCTGGCCAGAGATTTGAAACTAGGGGCAGATCTACACTCATGGTTTTTAATGTTAAGAAAGGGTTAAGGAAAGGTTTTGATAGATGGACACATGACACCCTACTTTTTACATTCATGGTGTGTTTTTACATTGTCTTTTTTAGAACTTATTTTTTTTAAAAAGTTTTTATTATTAAAATAATTCAGCATTAGTACACACATATTGCGAATATACAAGCATACAAACATACATTTCATACAATCCTTAAAAATGTTCAAACATACCTACCCTCAATCCCACAGATAATTCCTTTTCCACCACCCCTCACCCCACCTTTGTGTTAGACTTCCAATCTACTCAATTGCAATTTCTTTCCAATTTTATTACTTTCTTTCACACACCTTTAACCTAATTTCATGCTTCTTTTCCTGTTACACATTGTTATCCTTCTTATTTAGTATTTCAGTATTTAAAACGGAACTTGTTCATTCTAATAGGAGTTATGATTTTTCGATATGGTTTTGCAAGTATCCTTTAAACACCTTCCAGTCCCTGTCTATCTTCTCTTTTGAGATCCTTCCAATTTCTCCCATTGTTTTGGATATATTATAATACTCCAATAATTTGGCAAGCCACTCTGTTTTTGTTGATATAATACCACTTTTCCAATTTTCCATAGCACATATACTAAAATTGGAACGATACAGAGAAGTTTAGCATGGCCCCTGCGCTAGAGCTTAATTTTTAATTGTTTATGCTGCTATATTCATGAAACTCTGCTCATTTGGCCCTATGTAGCATTTTTACCCTTTTTCTTACTCATTCAAACTCCAAACCCCACCTCCAATGGTGTTGGGGGTAGATAAGAAAAGGACATGGAAGGCAAGAGGAAGAATAAAAATGTGACCCCAGGGGTTAGAGCAGAGCAACCAGCGATCAGCAGCAGGGAAAAAACAGAATTTTGGGGAATGGTGTGAGCAGGCCATAGGTGCCAACTCCCTGGTGCCCTGGGTGCCAGAGCACTCACAAAAATCCCCATGAAGGGGCTGGGCACCCACAAATTTCAGTGCCAGGGCCATGCACGCTGCATGGCACCCGTGGTTACAGGGCCAAGTTGGCACTCCTGAGCCAGGTATTGCTTACATTTGATGGGGGGAAACAAGGTAAAAGTAAACACGATTTAATTAACAAATATGCCCTTTGACATTTTAGAACAGCATATGTAATAACGTTAAACAGGTCAGTGTAGATCCAGCCTAGGTTTTACAATGCCTCATATTGGCTATCGCTGCAAGGTCAAAACAGAGAGGTAGGGAAAGCAACAGGTAAGGCGACCAGAAAAGGCTGGTTTTGAGGCATAGCTATAGGGCACGAGAATATGGCAAAGCAAGATAAAAATAAAAGAAGCCCCTCCCTCTCAAAGTGTTTCCTCTGTGTAGTACAATCATAACAGGAAATAGAAGTTTATCCTAAGTGCACTGTTGGTATTTTTCTAAGATCCTTTTCAGAATACGCTCCTCCGTCATGATTAATTCATTGAGAGGCAAGTGCACTGTTGTTTCATCAGCTCTGATATCTAGATTTTACAGGAGCTTACCTTTAAGACAGTATTAATTAAGGCCAACATTCAGATTTCAGGGGCTCCCTGGACATGGGAGCGTCTGTGGGCTGCATTAACCAGAAGGAACTCTAGTAAAAGCACAGATTCTTATGTATGCAACAGCAGCAGCCGGAACCTTGTATGCTCAGAACAGGAAAGAAGAGAAAACACCAATGGGGGAAAAATGGATTTAGGGATGGCCAACTCCCGAGGGACTGCAATGTACTTTCAGAATTAAAATCTGACAGTGATCTACCTTTTTAGGGAAAGGGTTCAGGTCAAAGCTGTTGAGCTTTTGTTACAGGTGGGGAATACCCCATTTTATGCCCATTTTGTTGGGGTTCCGTTTGAGGAGGACTTTTAAGGGGGAAGGGGATTAGTCATGGAATCTGGAATGAACATGATGGACAGTTCACAGAATGGAAGCCCTTTTTGGAAAATCTAAAAATCTATATATATATATAATCAAATGAAATCGCAAGCAGGATTTGAAATATGAGTAGTGGTAGAAGATTGCTAATATATGGAATAGAAAAAGATGTCTTGGGTGAAGTGTTTATTAGAGTGCAGTATGTAAATGAATGGGATGGGGTTAAGAACAGCATGGAAGGAAAAGCAGGAAGTCAAAGTTTAAAGAGAAATGTATTACGGGGACAAATAACAGAATAAATGTTATCAAGGACTCATATACTTAATTTCTCAGTGCCAACTACTTTCAACAAGATCCTGTTTATGTTTGCATAGGCCAAATGGAGTGTTCTCTATTAAAGTGCATGAATAGGCATAAGTCGGACATTAAAAACGCCAAGAAATTGGCAAAGGATTATTTCAGCTTCCTTGGATACTTTGATTGTGACCTCAATGTGCTGCAAAACAAATCAAGGCATAATTAAGAGCTCATGCTACACCAGGCCATGGCCCTAGATATTTAAGGCTCTCAGATCCAAGTTAATAGGGACTGTGGTGGGAAGGCAGGGACTTTCAATTGCCAAAACTGCCTCATTGGGGAAAGACCTACCGGGAAGAGTTACTGCAATCACTAGGCCTGAGCTGTTTTGGTTTCTTTGAATGAAGAGTTGATGTCACTGACGCCAGGCCTTTTATTGCTGGCCTGACTCTGGCTTGTGACATTAAGCCACTGGAGTAGACCATCGCACAGCTGCAGCAGTAATCTCCCAACAACAGAATCAGTGCCACTTACCAGAAGGGGAGAGACAAAGCAATGAGGTCCAGGCTACACAGGGACACCAGCAGGATTGACTCTGCTAGCGTGTCCATGCAGCACCTTGCCTCATCCTTCCCCATTCTGGTAAGTGGAAGGGACTATGCTGCAAGGAGGCTCTGCTCCACTACACAAGCTATTCCTGACATACTGCAAGTAATGACTTTGACTTTAAGATGTCAGTGTATTCTACCAGGATCGCTCATTAAAGATTTCCCCGACCCACTTCCGGTTATTGTAGGAGGATGAAATTGCACATGTATAATGATACATCTCTCCATAGGCAACGTGGTAATTTGTACCTCTGAACTCGTAACAGTTTCTTTGCTATGGGTGCTAACATGGAGTAACATCTGATAATGGAACCAGTTGAAGCAGAGCAGTCATCAGGTTCCTGTACTTGAAAGGGCGCACACCACGGGAGATGTTCAATGAGATGAAAGGGACTTATGGGGAAGGTGCCCCACCATATGATGTAGTCAAGCACTAGCATCATCAGTTCAAGTGTGGTCGGACTTCAGTGGAATGGCTCCCATTCCTGGGCGACCACAGTCCGTCATTGATGAAGACCCCATCCAGCAGGTAGAGGCCACCATTTTGGAGGATTGCCACATAACCGTTTGCCAACTAGCTGCAGATGTCAAGATCAGTGTGGGCTCTGTAGAAAAAAATCATCCATGACCATTTGCACATGGGAAAGGTGTCCACATGGTGGGTTCCCCGGCTGCTCATGCCTTTCCAGAAGCAGGAACAAGTCACATGCTCACGGGCTCTTTTGGCCATGTGTTATGAAAACCATGATGACTTCTTTGCCAAACTAATTACTCAGGAGGAAACATGGGTCCATCATTATGACCCAGAGACTAAATCTCAGTCCAAACAATGGAAGCACTCTGCCTCACCACCTCCAAAGAAGGCACATGTCCAACCATCAGTGACCAAGGTCATGCTCATGGTCTTTTGGGACCAGTGTGGAGTAGTGATGATGGATTTCCTGGCAAAGGGTACCACAGTTACCAGGACATACTACACTTCACTGCTGTAGAAATTGTGGAAGACCATCAAAATCGAGAGGCATGGTATGCTGACCAAAGGTGCCTGCCTCCTGCAGGATAACGCCCCAATTTACAACTAGCATGTTGCTCAGATGGAAGCACAGTCCTGTAGCTATGAAATCCTTCCTCACCCCCCTTATTCTCCTGACCTCACACCATCTGACTTCCACCTCTTTCCAACCATGAAGTTATTTTTGAAGAGCAAGCTTTTTCCAGACAATAAAATGCTGATTTCTGAGGTCAAGTCGTGGCTTCTGACACAACCTGCCAACTTCTACAGACGAGGTCTCCACAGCTGCATAAAGCGATGGGAGAAGTGTGTGACTCTTGCTGGTAGCTATGTAGAGATGGAATAATAACTGTGCCAAGTTTCATTTGTCTCAGTCCATGGGAAGTACATCAGGGGAAATCTTTAATGAATGCCCCTCGTACAGTATCGGAACATGGTGACATGGTGCTCTGTGTCAGCTTGGTGCAGAAAGTATTGATCTGATGTGTAGAGATCTTTCCTATTCTAATTAATTCAAGAGGGTTCTGGAAGCTTCTCTGTGTGAAAGAAATAAGCAGAAGGTTCATGATGTTTGGGTTATTCCTTCAGAGAAGCTAAGTGCAGCTGGTTTAAACTGGTTCTCCTTTCTCTTTCTGTCAAAGTCATGCTGACTATAAAAGGAAGGCCAGAAGGAACCTGGGTTTCACTTTCTCCTTCTATCTCTCTTCCTTCTGGTGTGGTGTTCTGTATATAGTGTTAAGGTTTATACTTATTATAAGTTATTGCAAGTTGCAGTTAAGTTTGCTGCAACTGGATTTCTTATGGACAGTGCCAATCCTGAATGTATTGGATCTGTGACCATTATGTTCATTTGCTTTCAGTAGCAGTAAAGCTCTGGATGAAACATGAATTGCCTCTGGTCTATTTTTTGGGAAACAAGCAACATGTTTAAGTTTTTACTCTGCCAACTATATGGCGGAATCTGGTCTGGATCAATATTGAGTAGAATTCCATGACAGGAATTCCATGAAGGTGGGTTTCATATGTTGCAGCTCACCTAAATATGAATGGAAGCTGGGGCTCCTAGTTAGGAGGGATCTGAGTGGTCCTCATGAACATAGCTTGCCTGCTTCTTAAATAAGAAACTCACGTTGGTGTCAATCATTTCACAAGGCCTCATAGTGTGCTCCCTAATGCTTCTTCCGATTGTCCCTCAGCATGGGGACAAGAAAGAAACTCCTGACCCCATGCATCAAACATTTGCTGGACCTCCCAACCCACGAATTCCACATCTGTTGTGTATTCCAGAATGTTTAGGAGGGGGGATCGCCCCTTTTTTGACACTTAAGAGCATTACAGTATCCAGTGATAAGTTAAAGATGGAATGTGAAAGTACCAGATGTCCCAATTTCCATGGGACTTTCCACCCAGAAATATAAAATTCCCATATCCTCTTGGCAGGAACAATTGGCTCAAGACCTGCAGATGCAGCACCCTCCTAAGACGCGCCATGTGGGAGTGTCACACTCTCAGCTTCTGCACGGAGGGCGTCTCAGATTCCTGCAGCTGCATCGCATCTGATGAGGTCTCTGGGACAAGAGAGAGAAAGAAGCAACATATAAGTCAGAAACTAAACTGGGAATAGTGAAGACATCTGACTGGCTGAGGAAATCAAGATATATGAATAGCAAAGGACTTCTGCAGGAATGCTGAGGATATCTTAGGGTGTACACTAAGTGAGGGAGAAGGCAAAATGCAGCGGATTGCAAGACACATTAGAAGAGTGTTTTGTTTCCAGACTTGCTTCCAGATTTGTAATGGCAGCATTTACCTTTAGTTGGGTGAGTGTAAGGACGCTGGTGGCTCTGTGGTCTAAACCACTGAGCCTCTTGGGTTTGCCAGAC